CAATATGCATTTACCTCACTACAGAGCCTGGAACACATCCAACTCTATTTTAGTCCCTTGCTTCAGGGTACATCTCTGAGGAAAAAGGAAATTTTAGCTAAGTTGAACCTGGACTACAGTTCCCAAACAATTTTTCCTCTCCCTGTCATGGCTCTGTCCTGAGTTTTCTCCTTGAACTTCCAGGTGCATTTGTTAGCTCACTGTTAGCCAATCTTTCCAAGGAGGATTTCTCCTCAGGGCAGCCCAGCCACTCTGCCTCTCTGCTTCAGGCCAGCTCCACCTGGCTAGTCACTGCAGAGGCTACAGCCATCTCTTCCACAGCTGGGCACCCAGACACAAGGATTGCTCACAGACTGGGTTCGAAGGCTTGCATTAACACAGGCATAGTGAGCAGCTGCCCTGAGCAAAACAAATTCTAATTTCCATTCTTACCTCATGATGAGCATCCAAACTCAATGATTTAAGGTCTTACGGACATCACAGACTAAGCTAACCAAGAAAAGCCATCGTATATGACAGTGACTTGACTGAATTCAGGTCTGGAAGACAGTTTCCTGACGTTCCAAGGCACAACTTGTGAATGTGTCAGACATAAGCCAGTTTATTCAGAGGATCACAAAGACAAACAACAAGAACCAACCAGTGTTCCTTAGACCTCTGCTCATTAGCCAAAGATGCCATTACTCAATGCAACCAGTTGCTCTTGTTAATGAACACACAGATGCAGTAACATGGAGTATTTTCTTTGAAAGTGACTTGGAAAATAAACTTTTCTGGCTGGAGTATCAGCTGTGCTCCTAGTAGCCACTTAGGCCAATCCTGGCTATTCATGTAGACTATTAACAATCAGATGTTACCAGTTGCCTGGAGCATGGATATCACTTTCATTCTGGTCCCCACTGCCACACGCACCTACAGAACATTTGAGCCTATTTTCAACAAACAAACCTGCAGCTGTAACTGAAAAAAAAAAGTACGGATCATTGAAAGTTTAGAAGAAATGTTAATTACTAGCAACCAAGGTCCAAAAGATGTACTTAAATACTCCTTAGAGTGTATACAGCACATTCAAGAGTACTGGCCATTCTCCAAAGGTTTATATCTGCTAAGTTTAAAAATTCATGTAAGTCTTTAAAATCAATGCTGTAAAACCACGTGTATTCTCTAGAATCACAGCAATTATAATAAAAGTGCTTTAAAATGTAATCAAGTGATTCCATCATGATGTGACATTAAGTACCAAAGCATTTAATAATTATCCCATTACAGTAACGTATTAATGATATTTCCAAATATTTGTGCTAGAAGATGAGGTGGTTTTCAGTTCTCACTTCCCTTACAAACATAAACTGTTTGAGAGGTTCTTGAAACACGTCACATCCACAGATTTCTCTGGCAGCTGTTTCTTTTTCAGACTAGAATAAGAAAAAGATAACAAAAGCAAAGCCTTCTCTAATTCCTAGCAGTGCAACAGGAAAACATCATCCTCTTTACAAAGCAAGTCCCTAGTCTTGAAGACTTGCACAGATGCTGAACTTTGAATTCAATAGGCTTACTCATGTGCATCAAATCAAGCATAAATTTCAGTCCCTGAAGCTTCAAACTTGACCTATCCAGCAAACCAAATGCAAGATATTAGCTATACATTCTTTCATCTGGCTTTGCATGCACCAGCACATCAAAAATGCAATGCATGCATGATAGCTCTTCAGGATTTTGAACACAGAACTAGTGCGGAGCAAGAAGTTGCAACAAAACAGGTTTTTCTACAACACACAAAGCAAAATAATGACAGTAACCCAAATGCTGCAGCTTTTGTTTCTGACTGAAGGAAGGATCACCCCCACTAAAGCAAGTGGAGGCAACTCCCTCCCATCCTTCAGGTAAGGATAAAGCAGAAAGCTTGGTACGTTGTGCTTTTAACATCCTGAAAGGGAGAGATGCACAGACCCTTCTCCTTCCTTGCCGAGGTTTCAGTCCTCCCATCTATCAGCTGAGATTTCAGCTCCTCATCCCTGGTGTGCGCTGCTGAGGACAGCTTATGCCAAAATGCCAATTTGTAAGCAGAAGGCTAAGCAGCACCGGTCTAATCCTGGATGGGACTTGTGTGGATCTGTGTGGACAAAGGAGCACAAACCTGCCCGCTGAAGGCAAGTATTTTAGCTTTCTGTGTACTGGACACATCTGTAACATACTCCACCTGAAGCTGGGTGCAGAGCTGCACTGTCCCACCAGCTCCCATTGCAAGCACCGAGTGCTACTGGGCTCAATCAGGAGGAATATGTGGCTGCAGGGGATGCAGGGAATACACAGGTGTGGTGTCCCCTGCTCTGCAGAGCTCACAGCCAGAACAAAAAGCCTAAGGGTAGCCTGGTTTCGCCACACAGGGAGCAATCACAGTGGCCTGTTGACCACGTGAGCTTTTATAGAGGAAGCAAGCAAGGAACCACAAAGTAATTGAATCACCAAGACAGTGAGATGACTATAAACTTTTGGGTGGCCTCACGCATGGCTAAAGACATTTTTGTCCAGAAACTTTGCTGCTCGCAAGCAACAAGT